CCTGTCTCTTATACACATCTAGATGTGTATAAGAGACAGGTCTAGAAGTGTACGGAATGTTGAAGGAAGGAAAAGGGTTCAAGGATTACCTACATGGACCAAGGGATGCAGGGACAAAGTTTAAGGTCAAATTTGTTCGTGAGCCCTAGCCCTGCTAAGGGCCGGCGGACGTGGGGCTGCTGTTTAACTGTGTGTATTAGCTCGCATGAGAGAGGAGAGAGGGAGAAGGAGGAGAGGCCCCACAATTCTCGAGAGAACACGGGGACTCCGCACTATCATCCAAAGCCTCTCAGCACATACCCTCCAAGTTGTCCCAGCTGCGTCCTACGTAACGGCTACTCTTCGACTATCTACTTACTTCTACGCACAACAAAATTCAGGACCGGGGACATAGGCCTTCGAGAACGTCGACGAAGACATAGGACGGTAGGCGACGAAGACGACGAGTTCAAATGTGATTGCGGCTTCGAATGCGAAGACCGTGTTCATGTAGTCGCGGAATGTCCGTTGTACAAGAAGGAGAGGGGAGTGTACGTGACTGAGCTGGGAAAAATAGCTTGGACGTACAGACAGGGAGATGTTTGAGGCATGGGATAGAGAGGAAAGAACGGTAGCTGTACTGGGGCATAGGAAGTGGGTTGAAAAGGCGGGAAGGGATATCGTTAGGATAGACAGACTGGGGAAGACATTTTTGAACCACCTTTGGCAAAGTAGAAAGGAACGATTGGCCATCGGTGCTCGGTCCTGTGGGAACAATGCTCCGTCCTCTCTAGGACGCGTGGTCAAACATGAAGGAAAAAGATACACAAAATCTGAAAAAAAAAAGGGAAAGAAGACAAAAAATGACCAGTATCGAGACTCGAATCAGAGCTTAAGGTACTGGCCTGGACCAGCGACAGTTGTTTTCGGTGAAATGAGCACCTATATACAACAACATATTCGCCTGATCGAGAGCGAAGTATCTGATTGAGAGCGAGAGCCAAAAAAATTGAAATTTCGGGTCCAGACGCCTCTTGCCATTTCTTGGCAAGTAGGGGACGGGCTATTCCAAGAAGCGGTGCAAATTGAAGGTCTCATCAGCAGCTTCGCGAGCATATGCGTGTCATCGTCATCGGATGCTGCAGCGAGGAGCTAGACAAGTTGCTAGATTTGCCCAGATTGGCTATTTCTGCTCAAACTGTTTCAGGGCGGTATCGCGTCGGGCGGTGGGCTCTGCTGTAGCTTCTGCTCCCCGCTGTAGCTCCACAACGAGAGACTCCCACAGGATGACCAGGGTAGCGGCTTGAAGCTACGGGCTAGCCCTTCAATTCAAGCTACACAGCAAGCTCCACCTCTCAGTGGTAGTCCGGCTACAGCGTATCGCGCAATCTCGCTCTCAATCAGATGCTACGCTCTCAATCAGGCGAATATGTTGTTATACCTGCTACGTTGACAAACATTTTCCCACAATTGTTTCTGAAATCGAGCAGGTGCACCTTGATTGAGATATTATAATATTGCGCCACGGTAAAAATTGAGAAGGGAACTGTGAAGAAATGCTTCATTTTTTTCCAAATTGGCTTCCTGATTTCATCATGTTCTTTTCATGTATGTTCCGTGACTGGCTATTTACCGCGATTAGCGAAACCCGAAAACTTTGTTCCCAGTCGGCTTATGGGGCTGCAGTGGCGGCTGCGGTTTAACATGAGTTGTTTAACAGAAAGTGCGGGTTGAACAGAGGTGAGACTTTTTGGCACGGCCAAACAAAGTCGTTTTTTTAACAGAAAGTTTGTCTTACTTCTGAGATTTTCTGTTAAATCGAGCTTTTGGAGGCCACGCCACGTACAGTGCCACCGATGGTCCCACATTTTTGGGGCGGGGTGATTTTTTGAAAGGGTTGTCCATGAAATTGGGCGACAAACAAATATGCGTTGGAAAGCTCTAGCCAGCAGCTTTCGAATAAGCCTGCCTTTCAAAACGGGTCGCAACGCTTTGGATCAAAAGTCATGGACCAATTCTACCATCGCCACCGAAGGTACTTCACCCCAATCAAACCTGCATATCTCGACAACTACGGGGTTGCGACCGAAAAAAATTGCCGATAATTGAAGCTCTCTTTCTGTTCTATCTTGTGGCGTTGGTTTCATTTCCGAACCTTTTGGACAAGAAAAATCGAGCTTCAATTTCTGCGCCTGGAGACAGCTTTTTACCGTTTTTTTTTACTTCGGAATAACCACCCTAGAATACACCGAGAAATGTGCAAGTGCAGGGCATAGTGGAAAAAACATCCGCAACGGACGATCGGACGGAACAACATATCCTTGGAAGTCAGCGCATCGTCAGGTTCGGAATGACACGCAAACCTCGTAGCGACTGAACTCATGGGGTATTTTAATGTTGAGCGCGCTTGCGGGGACCCCAACGCGTAATTGTGGTCGCGAATAGGAAAGCTTCGTTGTCAAGAGGGGAATCCAGCGAAATTTGCTCAATGTTCGCCGTATATTGGAGGCCAGGCAAGGCCTCTCTAATCTCTCTTGCCCTTGGGAGGGTGCCTGTGTCACGATGCGGTCAAACTCAACAATTTTCAAATCCAAGTTGTGCAGCTGCACCACTAAAAGGCTGTGTGCGGGTAGGAAAGGATGGCTGTAGTTTGCAGGACCTGGAACATCCCTTGCTCGCAGTTCGCCCGGCACGAGTACGAATACTGCATGCCCGCCGAAAGAATGCATGCGTCCCCTTTTGCTCGAGACGGCAGGGGCTCACGTCCGTGAGTCGCGCACGGGGAAATGCCCGCCGAAAGAATGAAGTTGGCGTGTTTCGAATGTGCTGACAGTCCTTTTCGACGTCGAATTCACTGTCGACGGAATGTCACCCGGGGAAGTGCTCCACCAAAACATGCTCATGACACATTTCGGCCATATCCTGTACGTCCACAACTTCATCAAAAACCCGACTTCCCGTTGTTGCGAACTTCACGTAAAAACTAGGGAAAAAAATATCTCCCTAAATAGTACGAAAACCCTTCCCGCCCAAAAACGAGTCTAACGATAAACTCTGCGCGAATGTCGCACTTCATGGTAAACCCCTCCCCGTCATGATGTGAAACGCGTGTTTTGTACAGGGCCGCTGAGAAAGAAAAGGCGCGCACACACCCTCGTACACCTGGTTTCCCATCAAACACTATCAAACACGGGATGCGTGGCCGATGGTTCAACAAGCATGCAGCTACACGGAATTTCCAGGGCAACGAGCGGTACGCCTCAGTCCCTGCATCAATACCCGATCATCCCAAACTACTGTACCACCAACATGCTACCACCAACGTGCTTCAGAGCCCGCCCCCGAGTCGCGGCAAAAGGCAGGCTGGCCTCGCCGGCTGCTTCATCATCAGAGTGACCAAAAACACTATTTAACACTGGAGGATGTATTTACAAAAATTCATCGCCTAGGGCGGGCGGCTACCGACGATACAAAACAGGGCGAGATGCAGGACCTGTCGCAACAACGAGAGCGCCGGTATGCGCATGCCGAATGAGACAGAGCGCACACACCGCCACACATGCAAGATCTCTCCAAAGGCGGAAAGCGCCTCGTGCCTCGTAGAAGATGGTTGTTTGTCACACGAAACACACATACGCACGCGCCGAGGTAAACATGTCCTCGAGGCACCGCTCGACGTTCAGCGCATAAATGGCCTCCTGCCTCCCCTTCTGAAGGTACTCAGAAGTATCGGCCGCTCACAAAGAGAGCTCGCCACAGGAAGCGGGTCTGAGATTTCGAAATGAAAAAAAAACAGACTACGTCAAGCCTCAGCGCTACGTGGCGAAAAAAAAACTAACCCCGCACGCATGTTACTGCATAATGCCCGACCTCGGGCCTAAATTGCTCAATAGAAACACCACTACATGCGCTAGGGCCGAGCCTCGATGTGTTAACTCTCGAGAGGGGGTCTTCGCGCCGGCCCTCGGCTCACAAGTTTTGTAGCTCACATGTTAATCTTGTGCCTTTGAGCGACCTGAAGGTGAGAAAAAAAGCCGATTCGGGACAAAAAAATAAATAAAAATAGGCCTGAGCACGGGCGTCCGCGGGATACGCATGAGTTGAAAGCTCGCCGTCCGTATCCGTATAGTTGCCGACCTCAAGAAAACATCGACAAAAAAAAACTATCTCACCTGCCATGTTTACGCTGATGTAGCCAAGGCGCATAGTTTCCAACACAAACAGCAAAAGCCGATTTCATTCGCCCCCAAAAACAGCGTACCATGCAGTCCCGAAGGAACCCTACCGAGCTCACCTCGTCAAACATGTTCGGGAACGCGAAGCGGACGCTCAGCGGCGGGGCCTTCCCCTTGGGCACCTCCATCTGCTGCGCCATCTGGAGGGCGCCGGCCTCCAGCCGCTGCCTTCCGAGCACCTCCCTCAGCAGCTCCTTGTGGTCGGTAATGACCGCCCTGATCTGCTCCTGCCACCTCAGCGTCGCCTGCTGGACCTCCTTGCTCGTGCACCGGCTCAGCCCGCCACCGCCACCGCCACCGCCGCCGCTGCCGCCGCTTCCGCCAGACCCAGAAGAGTCGCTCAAAATGGTGCCAAGGACAGTGCCCTCCCGCCATCGCGTCTTGAGGCGCATCTTGAGGGTCTGGACCGTGCGGCACCCGTTCCGGAGCTCTAGCCCCTCGGACTCGACGGCCTTGTCCAGCTCCACCAGATCCACCGCCGCCAGGAACTGCCGCCGGAGTTTATCGTGCTCGGCGAAGAACGACCGAGCGGCGGCCTCCCTCTCCAGGCACTGGTCCCCGTACAGCCGGTCGATGGCGCTGCCGCCGCCGTCACGGGGCTGTTCGCACGGTATCTCGCGCCGCTGTTGTCGCCCCAACGGCCGTTCGTCTTCGGTCGTCGCCCGCCTCGTCTCCTGACGTCCCATGTCGATGACGCACTCCAGCGGCGGCGGCAACACGTCGGGGCCCTTCGGTGGTGACGGCCTCGCTTCCTTCGTCCGGGCTTTTCTGGTGCTCTTTTTCCGTGCCTTCTTCGCCGAACCCCCGCCACCGCCGCCGCCGCCGTCGTCCGCGCTTGCCCCCGCTTCCGCCGCAGACGATGCCGCCGGCAGAGCAGGGCTCGCCGGCGGCCTTGTAGTCGCTTGCTCTTTCCTTTCCTCTGTAGCTTTCGCCGTGGCAACGACATCGCCGCCGCCCGGTGCCTTTCGATTCTTGTTGGCGACGGGTTGCATCGTTGCGGCGGCGGTGGTGATGGTTCTACTCTCGATCTCTACGTCCATCGGATCAGCGCCACCTGCCACGCCAACCACCGTAGATCTCGTAGATCCCGCAACGACCGCGGGCGGTGGCGCACCAGCGCTGGTAAGAGCGTCGTCGGCAGCTGGCGCTAAGTTGGTCGCTGCCGCAGGCGGCGATGTTTCCATGGCGGACGGCAGGGTTGCCGTCTCGGGCCCGCTGTCAGCCGCCGCCGTCGCCCGAGCGGACGTTCCCGCTTGTGCCCCAAGCGACCCGGCAGTGGAAGAAGCGTCCGCCGCCCCGGAGACCCTTTCCGCCGGTCCTGAGCCCCCCTTGATCGTGGTGGCAGCAGCCGCAGATGGAGCTGCCGTTGAAGGATCCCCCGCACGCCCGCCGCCGCCGGTGCTCCCGCCTACGCTAGCAGTACCCTCGCCAGCCGACGCGTGAGCACCCGCGGGCTCGCTCGTGGCCAAGGACTCGGCGGGGGCACGATCAGCACAGCCGCCGTCCACGGAACCGCCCATCGGAAAAACACCTTGTTGCGCCGCGTTTTCTTGCGGCGATGGGACGGCTCCGACGGCAGCGCCAGCCAACGGCGGCGACGACGAAGGTCTTCCCGTCGAACCCCCTCCCGCCGACACCCCCCCCGAAACGCTCGCGGGCTCATCTTTTCTCGGCCCTCCGGCGCTCTCTGTCTCCTCCGCAACGTCTCCAGCCACCACGGCGAGGCCAGGCAACGATGGCGTAACCGCCGAAGTGCTACCCCGAGCGGCGACCGCCGCCGCCGCCGCCGATGCTTCCGTTGCGGGCGGCGAGGGTCCGGAGGAGGAGGAGGACGCCGGTACCAGCTCCGGTTGCAGTGATGTCGGCGTCGGCACGACCTCCGCTGCCGCCGGCTTATCGTCTCCGCCCCCATCGCCATCGTTGCTGTTGCCGCCGCCTCCGCTCTCTTCTTCGTCTCCTGACGAATTTTCGTCGTCGTTGGCGCCGTCACTGCTATCGCTGCCGCTGTCATTGCTTCTAGCCCCGTCGGCATCGGCAGACGCCGCCGCGGCCGACAGCATGTGCGGAAGCAGCCTCAAACCCGTCCGGTATCTCGCCCGCGCTTGCTCCAGGGTGATCGGTGTAGTCTGCCGAATGCACAATGGGGAAAGACGGCGGGGTACGTTAGACGACGAGAGTGGGTTAATGACCCAAGGGGCCAGGTGGGAACAGCCTGCTGCAAGGGTTGGAAAGCAGGAAGCGCGCGCGTAGAGAAGGGGAGGGCGGAAGCGATGACGGTCCATGGGTATGCACAAAACACAGTAGGGTACTTGCTTTTCGTACGCTCATCATCAGCAGCGTGACCACATCAGGTAGGGCGCTTACTTCGTACGCTAATAATCAGCAGCGTGACCAGTCCTTCAACTCCAACAAGACTAGCCACCCCGTGTACCGACAACACGCACGAGGCTCCGAGGTGCGACCGCAACACACCGTCTCCGCCTCTTCTCCAAAAAAACGCAACACATAAAAAAAGCACATCAATCTGACACAACAAGAACGGACGGATGGCCTGCAAAAAAAAGAACAGTTGTACGTGCACACGCTTGTTGTTGTGTTGTTGTCGTCTTAACATTGAAAGCGTTCCGATGTCCCTCTCTACCCCCTCTTGGAATACACTATCCACGGTGCAGCTCTGCCGTTTCCTCCGCTCACCTCCCGATCCCTCCTCGTCCTGCGTGTCTCCAGAAAGGCCACCAGCCCCGGGGGCACCACGGGGGGCTCGACCAGCGCGTCCCTCTCCTCGACGCACACCACCCTCAGCTCTTCCGCCTGCTCTCCGCCTCCGGACAGCCAGCTCGAGCCTATCCCCTTGACGATGGACCCCATGTCGAATATGCTACCGCTGCTCCGGAGGGTGCGCGCGGTGATCCTAGACCGACGATCTCTAAGCAGCTGGTCCCCGCCAACGCCGCCGCTGCCTCCTCTTGACCCTCCGCCTCCCCCATCTGCGTCGCCAGAGGCGGAGGAGGAGTTAAGGCGCCGAGCCCTACCGCCGCCGCTGCCGCCGCCGCCGCCGCGAGAAGTCGTTGAGGTACCTTCTTCTCCCGCTGCTCCCGATCCTCGCCGCCCTCTCTTTGGCGGCGCTGCCGTTGTCGGAGTGGGATTCTGCGCCTAAAGCGGTTCATCATTGAGGTTCCGGAACACGATGAAGGGGGCAAAGGCGGGGGAGCAAGAAGAGACTTTCCATGAAGCGACGTCCCAGAGCAAGAAACGCAACCACACAAACCAGTTTATACATGCTCGTATTGGCGAGCAGGAGTTGAATCTGTGCGCTTCGTGTTGTAAAATATCAGCAAGGCGAGGGAACACGCCCCATGACTACGGTAGCCCGACAGGCCACGTCCTTTCGCCCGCACATGGGTCATGTCATGATACAGAACTGCTGTGGTTCCACCAACAGCAGCAAATGACTCCCCGGCGTGTTGTGGATACCCCATTGCGAAAGCCTGGCAACAACCCGGACAAGCTCACGTGCTCAACCGTCCTGACGCTTGAAACGTTTCCATTGGCCTGCCCTCACCTCTCTTTCGTCCTGCTCGCCCTCCTCGCCACCCGGCTTGTCCCGCTGGTCCTCGCGCGCTCTCTTCTTTCCCGGGCGTTTCGCAGGTACCGTTGAGGTATCTACACCGCCACCACTAGCTCCACTACTAGCACCGCCGCCGCCGCCACTAGCACCACCGCTGCCGCCGCTAGCAGCTCCACTACCACTACTGTCGCCGCTGCCGCCCCCTCCAACAGTACGACCAGCAACACCACCGGTGGCGTCACCAACAGCGCCACCACTGCCACCGCTACCGCCACCGCCACCGCCACCGCCACCGATTCCACTATCACCACCACCCACACTTGGGCTTTTTTCGCCTCTGTTTTCTCTGGGCTTATCTTGCTTGGCTGCCTGCGCGTGTTCGCGTACAGCCGCTCCGGCAGACGCCGCCAGCCCCGCCGCCGGCCCCGCCGCCGCTGCCGCCGCCGCCGCTGCCGCCGCCGCATTTGCTGCTGCCGCTGCTGCTGCCGCTGCCGCTGCTGCTGCCGCAACCGGCCCAGAAATCTCGCCGCCGCCCGCGGTCACATCGCTGCGGCCGCTCGCTGCCCTCCCGAGCTGGTCCCGGTCGAGGCCCAACGCCGTTCTCCCTCTCGCTACCGCCGTCGTCCCGGTCGACACCACAGTTGTCGCCGCCATCGACCCCTTCCGGGATTCCTTCGAGCCCGACCCCAACACCCCGACAATGCCAACCTCGAAGCCGAGCTCCGCCAGTCCCGCCACAGCGCTGCCCCGCTTCCTCTCGCTGAGACCTTCCTTACCCCCGCCGCCGCCAGCGGCCCCGCCAGCGCCACCACCAGGCCCAGCAGAGCCCTTTCCTGCCGCGGGCGGCGGCGTGCCACCGGCGGCCGTCGCTCCACCTCCGCCGGTGCCCGCCCGACCCCGCCCGGCCCCTCCAGACCCCGCTCCGGCGCCCCGTTTTCTTCGCCCCCCCCGCAAGCCCGCTGATCCCGGTGTCGGCACTCCATGGATCGTAGGGGCGTCCTGCTGACCGCCACCGCCGCCGCCGTCGGCAGCGCCGGTCTTGCCATCGCTGCCGCCGTCGACGCGCGTACGCTTGCGGCCGCCGCCGCTGCCGGGAGTGGAGCCGGCCGGGGAAGAGAAGAGGTGCTGTTGAACGCCGGCGCCGATCGGTGATGGCGATAAGGACATAGAGGTCTGGGACGTCGGCCGACCGACCTGCTGCGCGTTCGCAGAATCCCCCGTTCTTCGCCAACCCAAGGCGTTGTCTTCTCCTGCCCCTTGCCACGTAGGACCCGGCGGCGTGACCGGCGGTGCCGGGGTGGACGGCGGCAGGATAGCGGCGGCGGCGGCGGTGGCGGACGTAGCGGCAGGCTGCTGCTGCTGCTGCTGCTGTTGGTTCATCGGCGACGCGGGGACAACCTCCGTTCCTCCTACCTCCTCTCCCACGCTCACGCAACCACCCTCTCCTTGTTGCCTACTGCTATCACCGCCTACTTCGGGGTTTCCGTTCCCGCTTTCGTTCCCGCTGTCCGCGGCGGCGCTGTCCTCGCCGTCCGTCTCGTTATCTTCCGGCGTAAGCCTTCGACCCTCGGGCCAGGGGAGCATGCAGCGCCCAAAGGTGTCCGTGCGCTGGACAAAAGGGGCGGGGTGTGCGTGTGTGTGTGTGTTTGTGTGTGTGTGTGAAAAGAAAGGTCATGGGAGAGCGTAAGAGGCACAGGAGGAGAGCAGGCAGGGAGACACGCGCCCCACGGAGTGCAGGACTATCAAGTATCAACTCCACTCACAAGTAGGGGATCAGAGGTGCAAGAATGGAACCCACGGGCAGCGCATCAAAAGATACGTTCCAAGTGCTGCCGAATAGCTATCGACCTCGGACGGAGAGGTGGTGGGGGCCAAAATATTCCAGCTTTTTTTTTTTTGCCGGAGTGAGTGCTTTCGGGACCGGGTGCGGCGATTTTTCGGTTGCTCACCTTCACTTGCGAATCTTCGCGCTGCTGCTCCTTGGTCCGGGGGAGCGCCATCAGCTCCAGCTCCTTGTCCCTTTCCTCGCCGCTCACCGCGGCGTCTCCGCCGCTCCCCTTCCCGCCCGCGATGATCAGGACGGGGAGCCCGCTCGCCCCCGCGAGGCTCAGAGCCACGGTCGGCTTGGCGTCCTCCTCCCTCGTCCCGATGCCCTCGAGCGGCTGCAAGCGCATCGTGTTGACCGCCTGCTGAGGAGTGTCATTGGGGGGAGAGTGCCACACGCACACGAGAGTGCCGCCAACGTTCAGCAAAAATAGGAGGCCGTTTGGATCCCTCTCGCTGGAGACCAAGACAAAGAGCGGCGGCTCAGAAAGGAGCAAGAACGTGCATGGTGCGCTCGTCGCTTGAGAGGGTGTTGGAGGCTACGGGGCGGTGTCGCCCCGAGTCGGTTTTGGTTTTCTCAAAAATATAGTGGTTCGTTCGCACGGACAACGGGCGAGGGTGTGATGACGGCTGCCGACAGCATCAAAACACCCAAGGTTGGGTGCAGCTATCTAGGTACATACGTATGCCAGGCTACCGTTCTCATATACGGCAGGGTTCAAGAGCCTCGTAACACATGTACCCACGCCACGAGAAACACTGTCTTTGAGGGGTGGTCGATTGATACACGCCACCCCGCGTTGAGCAGAAAAACGCGCAACAAATCTCCCTCAAAAGCAAAACGCCCCCCCCCCCCGAGTAGATCATGTTGTGCGGGGTCGAAAACCCTCACTCCGCGCAAGGGGGATGATCGCACCACGTTGTGTTAAAATGGTCAAGCACCCTCGAGGCAGTTACACAGTGCTTATAACTGTCTCAGGAAGCCATACGCAAGGAAGTAAGCACAAGATGCCGAAGACCCTTAGCAGGATGCAGCGCACCCTTCATGCGACTCGCCGAATACCTCACGGCGCTTCGCGTTTGGTGATTTTTTTTTTCTCCCATCATTGGACTCTGTCGTCTGCCCCTCTGGCCCCTATCCTCCACTTCTACTAGCTAGACGACCCAACCGGGGTCACATAGGAGGGGGGGGTTGGACCCCCTCCTGTGGTTCATGCCTGGGGTATTTTTATCGCGAGAAGGGTACAGCAATCCCTTCCCTCGCGACTTACGAAGTCGATTATGGTTAACTAACAAACGAGCTTTGCAGCGCGTCGCTTTCATCCTAGACCGAATTTATTTAGTGAGAATCAAACTCTCTCTGCCGGGACTCGAACCCATGACCTGGCCCTTAGCAGGCTGCGAGGCTACCCACTAGACCACCGGGGCGACCGGTTGGTGATGTTAGAGCCTGGTCCGGTGAGAACCCGGCGTGCTCCGTCCCGGCTTTGTAGAGATGCGAGGTCAATGGTCTAACGACTACGGCATGCACGACCATGAGTACCCCCCCCCCGGGAACCATATCAGGCATATCGCTCCGTCCCGGCATTGTCGGGAAGCGCGGTCTACGGTGGAACGAATACGGCACGCGTTTACGTGAGTACACCCCTCCCCCCTTGGCACGCTCGCCACGGTGACGGTACTACAGCTGTACCTGCGTGTGTCGATGATACAAAAGCATCCCGTCCGAGCACACGAGCACCACGTGCCGACCGTCCTGCGTGCCGGCGAGGTCCTTGAGCATGCGGCAGTGCCGCTTCCCTCTTCCGGAGGCGGGAGAAGCCCTCCCCGTCAACGGCGACGCCACCCCGGCCTCGGGCAGGGCTTCGTCGGGGGGGGGGGG